GAGAAGCAAATATTACATTATGATTGTGAAATCCACGATCTAGGCATGTGGAGTATTTATCTCAATTCACACTAAGCCCGTTAGAATTTTATTTTTAAAGTTATATTTAATGTCAAACATTAAATTAAACATATATAGTAGAATTCACAAGTACTATTCATTTATCTATCACTCATTTCTACGAACGTATAATTTTTGCAAGTAAAAAGTAAACTCAAAAGGAAGGCTAATCTTCTTTTCTTTATCGACGGCCAACTCCTTTCCCTTTTTTTTTTGAAATTTTTTTTTTCTCTTATTTTGAAATCACTTGAGATTTATGTTTCTTCTTTATTTCCGCAATGATATATATGTAATTGACGTGAGGAATGATCCAACTTTCCACAAGAAATATAAAACATGGTGGAGTCCATGATGTCTGGTGTCATGGGACAGCTCATGCTTTGAATTTCCTAGGGTTCTACTACTTTTTATCGTAGTTTCACATTTCCTATGGCTTTCGAAGGATGAAAAGTGGAAATTTTATAATCTTTATCCGTACCAAATATTAGAAAAGATATTGAGCCTAACTCAACTTAACAAAATCGGTTTGTTAGGGAAGGATTGCCCTCACCTTATTAAGTGGATCGTGTAAATATCACCAGTCATATGAGACTCCAATACGTTCCCTCACGCACAGTGTGGAGTATGTCAAACAACTGTAAACAAATCGATATTGAGTGCACTCAACATTGCAAAACTGGATCTGCTCTGATACCATATTAGAAATGATATTTGGCCTAATTCAACCTAACAAACCGATTTTGTTATGTTGAATTAGGTCAAATATCTTTTCTAACACCAAATAAAACGTGTATATATTAGATTTAATACTTTTCTTTTGAATTTTCAATTTTAAATCGTTTACTAAATTAAATTTGATGAAATTCTTTTATCTTTAGGACCATTTTTATTCTGAGATACTTCTTGTAGAACCATTTACCATTAAAAAATCATATAAATCTTCCTTTGTATCTTTTTCATTACTTCATCATCATTTTAAAACCAAATATTAATTTTAATTACGAATTTCATAGAATCCACAAATATTATTTATTTATCCACAGCTCATTTCTATAATCAACTTATAATTTTAGCAAATATAAAGGAACCCACACAATGGCTAATTAAGACTAGTCCAAAGTCTTCTTTTATATGAATTAATAGTGACTACAATGGCTTGATGAATTTGGCATTTTACTTAATTACTTTATTGATATTATATCTTCTCTTCTTAATTTTTTTCTCTTGTTTTGAAATGCTTGGAAGTTATATTAGGTACGCAACATAGAGATACGACACGATATAATTATTATCCATTTATGATATTTCTTCTTTATTTTCGACATGATATATACACATATATGACGCGAGAATTGAGCCAACTTTTCACAAGAACGGAGGATTCCATGATGTTTCTTGGGGCAGCTCATTCGTTTAATTTCCTAAGGTTCATACTACTTTTATGTAGTTTCCATGAATATGTGACATTTTTGCCTTAATACTATTTAATATCTAATAAATTGTTAACTCTAAATTGGAGAGACAATTTTGCTCCTTATGAACACATGGCTCCATTCGTGGGCCAATTCACGTGCAAATTTTTTAGACAAAAACTTGGCAATCGACAAAAACTTTTATGTAGTTTCCATGAATATGTGACAAAAATTCAAAAAATCTTCAAAAAATCTTTAGTCACACTGTGAAAATGAAATCCACAATGCTTGTAGGATTGGGGACTTGTATTAAAGGAAATTATTGAATGCTAAAATCCACTGGAATAGGTAACTTTTGACATGATCATGTGGGTGGGTCTTTTTTTATATGGATTAGTTAATATGATGGTTTTGTTTCTTTTTTGACTCGATTTCGAATCATACATGCACATATGGACATTGACGATTCACTTTCAAATGAAGATAAGATTTATTGAAAAGTTATAAGATGAGATAAATTCTTTTTCTTTGGAGTAATGTTATTTATCATCACAATGATGTAATATCGATGATGTGACAATTTGTATGAAATAATAAGAATGAACAGTTCAATTTTTATGAGAGATAGAGAAATGAGAGAGAGAGAGAGAGAGAATGAATTTTCAAATCATCGATATTATATCATCATGATGATAAATAACATTACTCTTTTAATAAATAGCATATTGTCCTCTAATTTATAGTAGGTACGTATCTTTCTTCATACGGGGTGTGGGTTTTTCTTCTGAATTAAGCAAAGTTTCCATTTTTCTCATAAATTTAAACTATCTATCAAAATAAAATTGCAAACATGGTTTTTAATCAAACAACCTTACTGGTGGAGTATTTATTAATTCGAAAAAAAAAAAAAAGGTCCCAAAATTTTGGAGGGAAGTCTACGACCTGATCTCCAGCCAATTAAATATATATCAAAATAGTTTAGAAGAATGGGAGTAAAGACGTCAAAAAATATCGGCGTCGTTCAATTAAAGGTGAAATTATGCCCATGTTTGATGGCTATTATTAAGAAAAAAATGATATTTTGAATAGTGATTTTTTTTTTTTTTTAGAATGTGTGGTTAAAATGTAGGGAAAATTATGAGTTTATATGCAAAATATTTTATTGTGTGAATGTGGTTGGAAATAAATATAAGAACTATTGCCTATTTGACTCT